TGTGGGGAAAGATACACAAACAGCTCTACGCAGCTGCCCTGACAGTCATTCTTGGGGTGGCTGGGACTTTTCAGAACTGCTTTGTCATCAAGAGGACTCTGCAGGCCAAGTTCATTTTGTTCCTTCTCATCCCCTGAGTTCCTACCCTGATTTCTTGTTTACTGACCACTGACCGTCTTTGAAGTCCTCTGTCAGGCACCCCTGGCTGCATTTCACATTTATCCCAGCCTCCTCTATTTCTTCCTCATTAGCACCTACAGAACGTTCAATTCAACGTCCAACACTCTCTGGTTCCTGACTATCAACTGTACCATTTCAAAAGAAAACCTTGGATCTCGTTCCATTCCCTCAACATTCTTCCCCTTTCCCTCTCCCCCTAGTCTTTAAACCTCTTGCTTTTCCTCTTGAGAATGTAATTTCATTGCCTCTATTCCTCATTAAAAGGTTAAGGAGGCTCATATATGATCATGGTGTTCTAGACTCTAGACTCTAGAGCTGGAAGGGACCTTAGTGTTCACATAGTCCATCCCCTTGTTTTACAGAGAAGGAAACTGTAATCAAGACAGCTTAAGTGACTTCCTCTAAGTCATACAGTGAAGTGGCAAAGCTAGGATTTGAACTGGCACCCTGTAACTCCAAATCCAGGGCTTTTACTAGTAAGTAAAAACTTTTTTCTTTTCTTTTCTTTTTTTTTAACTTTTATCATGGGCAGGTTAGTTGTCATTAGTTCAGTCATTTTTAGTCATGGCTGACTCTTCATGACCCCATTTGGGGTTTTCTTAGCAAAGATACTGGAGTGGCTTGTCATTTTACAGATGAGGAAACTGAGGCAAACAGAGTGAAGTGCCCAGGTCATACAGCTAGTAAGTGTCCGAGGCCAGATTTGAACTCAGGAAAAGGAGTCTTCCTGACTCTGAGCTCGGCAATACTCTTATCTATTGTGCCCAATGAAGCAGGTGTCTGGAGACCAAATTTAAAATTCTGAATTTGTTCTTCAATTGCCTTATGATCTTAAATAAAACATTGAATCTCTTGGGGCCTCAGTTGTTTTTTTCCACCTAGAAAATGGAGATAGTAATATCCCCTTGTTTCCTCTACTTCCTTGCTATTTTGGAAAAATAGAGTGAATGGGAGCTTCTTTCTTCCAGGGGCACCACCACTCATCTAGCGTTCCCTGTTTGACATTTTGGTGTTATTGTTGACTCTTCTCTCTCTCCAACTTTTTACAATCAGTTAGTCACCCAGTCCTACAATCCTACCCTTTCAATATTGTGGCAGCTATCTTCTCCCTCTCTACTCTCTGCCACCGTACTAGCTCATGCACCTTTTGCCTGAGCCATTGAAATAGCCTTTTGACCGGTTTTGTCTGCATTCTCTGCTCCCCTTCAATCTACCCTTTGTTCATAGATAAAATGTTACGCAAAACTTAAGGAGAGATCTATATAAATCCTAGCTATTATTCTCATCATTGTTACTAATCCAAGATTTGTCCTCTTGGTGGACCTGCTGAGACTACTCCTCTGCTCAGAATCACTCAGTGGCTCCCTACTTAGTGCTGAGAAAAGTTTAAACTACTTGGTTGTTCAGTTGTGTCCAACTCTTTGTGATCTTGTATGAGATTTTCTTGGCAAAGATACTGGAGTGGTTTGCTATCTCCTTCTCCAGTAAATTAATGCAAACAGAGGCTAAGTGACTTACCCAAGGTCACACAGATAGTGAGTATCTGAGGCAAGATTTGAACTCAGGTCTTCCTGACTGCAGGCCCAGCACTCTATCCATGATGGGGCCATTATACTTTTATCTTACTACTCTTCTCCATATTCTCCCTTTCATATACATCCTGCAGTCACACCTTACACAGTGACCCCTACACACAAACACACACACACACACTTACCAAGTTCCTACCCATCCTTTAAAGCTCAACTTAAATGCTGCCTCCTCCAAGAAGTTTTTGCAGATTCCCACCTTTGGTAATGACCACTTCCTCCTTAGGCCTCTTCTAGCACTTTGTTCCTTTCTTATATATTTATCATATATTATTTTGTATTTATAGCCATTTGTATATATCATATCCTGCAACCAGATTGTAAGCTATATGAAGGCAAGAGCCATGTTTTTCTTTTACAAAGAGCCTTTGTATCTTACCCAGTGCTTAGCATTGTATATATTATTGTACCTGGTAAGAACTTAATGAACATTTTTAATCAAATGAAATTAAATTGACTATAAAGACTTTTGGACTAATCCAGGGGAAAGATGTTATGTGGAGCAAAGAAATTATCTTCCAGAACCAAGGGTCTCAGTAAGAGCCATGTCAATCATGGACCCAATTTTTTAGTCTCCCTAAAGAGCCTGACCTATAATAATAACAACAACAAACAGCAACAATACTGGCTCACGTCTGTGTAGATTTTTAAGGTTCAGAAGGTCTTTTATACACATCATCTCTTTTGATCCTCAGAACACCTTTGGCAGGTAGATGTTCTCAGTACCTCCATTTTACAAACGAGGAAACTGAGGCTCATCGAAATTAAGTGACTTTCCTAGGGTCACAGTACCATCAGAGGAAGGCTTCAAACCAAGTCTTCCCGGCTCCACACTCTGTGTTCTTCTTACCGTCTCCTCCAACGTTCCCTTCTCCTCAGCTCACTTCAGGTTCTTACTTTCAGGTGTAACTTCCCTACCCATTTTTCCCCCCATTTTGCTAAATAAAGGAAGTAGCCCCAAGGGCTGGTTTTCCTCCTGCTACCACAGAGGTCTGTGTAACTGCTTCTTCCTCTAAGTGGTGAAAACGACCTGATACATTTACCTTGAGGCAGCTGATTAAAGAGGCAGAAAGATTTAGCGGGAGGGGGGATAGAACAGAAGACCACAGACAAGCAAGGGGGGAAATCTTCAGCCAAGTTCCTTCTTGGTATGAAGCTGACCTTGAGCAGAGCTCAGCTTCCAAGTTTGGCTTTCTATCAGCCTTGCCTAAATGTCACATGATAGAGAAAGCAGAAGGCCTGGATTTTCCCCTCTGTTTTCTCCTTCCCTTCCATCTTTAACTACTCATGGATTCTTTTTACTATTTATTTATTGATTGGCAAGGTAACTGGGGTTAAGTGACTTGCTCAGAGTCACATAGCTATTAAGTGTTATGTATCTGAGGTCACATTTGAACTCAGGTCCTCCTGACTCCAGGGCAGGTGGTCTATCCACTGCACCGTCTAGCTGCCTCTGTTGATTCTTTTTAAAGATATCTTTTGATTTCCTATCACCTTCATTTCCAATAGATTACTTCCCATCCCCTAGTCCAGGGGTGGGGAACCTGCAGCCTCAAGGCCACATGTGGCCCTTTAGGTCTTCAAGTGCAGCCCTTTGACTGAATCCAAACTATTACTCCTGCACCTAGTCAGAGCCCCCATCCCTTATAACAAAGACAAAAACAGAGATTAAAAAAAAAAGATTAGCAAAACTGAATAACACATCAACTGAGTCTGCCAGTACATGGTTGTTCCATGCCTGCAGTCCCCCTACCTCTGCAAAGAAGGGAGCAGGAGGCATTTTCTCATCTCTTCTTCAAGGTCCTGCTTGGTCATCATTATTACACAGGGCTCAGTTCCTTCCATTTTCATTGTTGTAGTCATCGCTTATACTCTTTCCCTAGGGTCTGCTTACTTTGTTTTACGTCACTTCACATGATAATATGTCTTCTCACACTCTTCTGTAGTCTTCCTATTCATTTTTTATGGTACGATAATATTCTATTACATTTAGGTACCACAGTTTTGAGTCATTCACCAATCAATGGGCTTCTCTTTTGCTTCCAGATCTACTACATGCTACTACATATATTTTGGTGTACATGAGATTTTTCTTTCTTGCACATATCTAGCAGTGGGATCTCCTTGGGAGGAACTTCTGGGTCCAAAGGATGGACATTTTTATTACTTTTTTGTCATAATTCCAAAATGGTTTCCAGAATTGTTCAGTCAATCACAGTTTTACCGACAGTATGATGGTATACCATTCTTTCGATAACCCCTCCAGCATTGACTGCTCTCCTCCCCCCCCCCTTCTTTTTTGCTATCTTTGCCAATTTGTAGATTATCAAGTGAAACTGCTGGGTTTCAAAAATTTCTGTCCTTATCAATTCTTAGGGAGCTCAATTGATTTTATTCAGTTTAGAAATCTTCCTACTAGGAAGCTCTGTGAGGACAAGGTCAGTATCTAATCTAAATTTTGTATCTCAATGCCCAGCATATTGTCTCATAATTTCCTAAGGGTTAGCTAAAGCTTAGAAGCCTTAAAGATGTAAGGAATGATATACGGGGAACAATTAATAAAGCTTGGTGGTATCCAAGTGGATCTGGGTGCATTTAGAGTGTGGGAAAAACTACTTTGACAATGTATTGCCAAGTCAAAATCAAGATTGTTATAATGATAAACCCAAAGGGCCACAGCATCAGTCCCATATCTCCTACCAAGAGAACTCTAGGGACCTGAGTTTGGCCACAAAACTCCACCAAAGTGCTAAGCTGGTCTTTCCATTTTTTTTTTTAAGCTCAAGCAAATCTAAAGTTCCCGAATCGCCCTGACTGGCTGCTTCCATATCTCAATGGCCGCCGTCTCTCCAGAGCCGGACGGACAAAACTTTCCCTTGCCTAGAGTCAGGATGAAGTGATTTGCTCCCCTCTGGCTGGGTTGGTTCTGCAAACCAGATAGCAGCCAGTCAAGTGAGCTCAGGAGTCGGGCCCTTCTGGAGCTCCATTTGTTTGGACAGGACAACACACTGGACAATCCGCCTCTCCAGGCAGGAGCCTGGTGCTCCCAGCCCCCTGGAGGTATTCCTTTTTTGGATTTTCTTTTCTTTTTTCTCCAAGCTGCCCCCCCCCCCCACATTTTGTTTAAGAGAAAACGAGATGTCTATCTTCTGTTTCCTTATTTTTTTTCAGGAAAGCAAAGGGTTGTTGACTTCCTCCCTCTCCCCTCCCTTCCTTCCTTCTTCCCGAAGGTACTCATCTGAGAAAAAGAGAACGAAGTAATTGTTCCTGTTCTCTTTCTTAAGTCATTTGAAACACTGTCCCAGCTCCTTCTGTAAGTTCACTGCAATCTGTACACAAGAGAGAGAGGGAGAGGGAGAGAGAGTGCATGAGAGCAGAAAGCAGGTAAAGAAAGCGCTTGGTGCTGCAGCTATTCAGACCTCAGGAGCTGGTAAGTTACCCCTCGAATCATTGTTGCTTCTTTTTCAATGGAACGAACACATTCTCTGCTAGGCATCTTTAGATGAAGATGTCTCACTGACCACATCCTTGACTCAAAGAGTATGAAGGATGGTTGACCCAGAATTTAAAGTTAGACTTTTTTTTTTAAGGGAATACATGATCTGGCAACAACGAAAAGAGTATGGCATTGGGGATAAGGAGGAGCACTGTGGTCAAACCAGATTTGGGCATAGATAATAAGACACGAGTCACCAGGCTCTGTTACCTCTCCTGCTGGAAGCTTTGTTGTCTTTCTCTATTCTGGCTTCAGTCAGCTTGGTTGTGGGGTGCATCTGGCAAGGAATGCCATAGGGTTTTGTGGGATATCACTGCAATAGAAATGACAATACCTTCCTCCTTTTCTCTTTTCCCCTTCTCTCTACTCCCCAGTAAATATCCTCCAAAATAGGCATGGTCACATATGAGCTCCATTCTGAGTCATTAATCTAAGAGAAAGAAAAGAGGGATGCATGGTATTACAAGGACTGTGTGTTTGGGGCAGAGGTGTTAGCTGACGGTGAACCTGTGGCCCATATATATATGTGTGGTTACACAAAGAGCATAACCTCTAAGGTACTCGGCTTTCAGTTGAGAAAATCTTCCTGGGGACGGGTTTGGAAGATAAGGACTGATCTTACATAACAATAACTGGACCTAAGACTATATTTCAAGCTTATGTTACTACTTTCACTCAGCCCAAATAGCCAGTGGTTTTCCTAGTACCAAGCAGAATGTAATCCACTAGTCATACATAACCAGCTAGGAGACATTTGGACCAACCATTCATAAAGGGTCAAACCTGAAATTTGTGATCACAAACACTGTTACTAAGAGTCCATCATGACAGGCTGAGAGGGGATCCAAAAATAGGTCATTTGGGTCACATGAAAAGACCATATGTATTTGTAGAAACTTACAACACAATACAGGGAAAGGAGCACTAGGCAAGGGGTGTTATGTATTTCTTTTCTATATTAGTTTTTGGTGAAATTTGCTGACTGAAGTTGCTTTGTGGGTAGTGATGAGACTCAAACAGCCAGTTTTTCATTGACAAGAATAAGGATCTAATCCTAAGATTTCACTGCAGAAATGTGACTTGCATCAGAAATCTGGTCATCCCTGTAATACATGGTGGCAAAATACAGTTGTAGTGAATTGTTGGGAGTCTTCTATGTGAAAAGACCTCTATGCTTTTTCTTTTCTTTCTCTTTTCTCTGTAGACTTTCCTTGGTAGCTCTAGAAAAGAGAGTAACTTGTAAAATACTGGAACGAAAGTTTATTTTGTGGCCACCCATTAATGTGCTTCAATCTATCCTTTTTTGTCTTTCAAACTAGGAGCTTGGTGGTGTGGCAATTAGCTTAATAACCATCAGCTGTGGCATAAAGACCCCTTCCCCCTCCTTTGTTCCCTCAACTGATCTGAAGTTGAAAAGGGACCATAGATTGATAATCTAGGCAACTGTGATTTGTCAGCAATCATGACCTCCAGTAATGAATTCTGACCTGCGATCTTCATTACTTGGGTCTTTTGGTTTCATTTTTGGTTGATTCTGTACAGTGGATCGAAAACATCAACCCCTTTGACTTTTGGTTGTTGAAATACGAAAATGTGAAGCACAAATGTTAAAAAATAAAAATGACTGTTTTTTGATGGAATGAAATGTAAAAAGCAAGAGTTTGATGACTCAGAGAACAGCCTACAGAACGTGTAGAGGCAGAGCACCTGGATGACCCCAAAGCAAGATGAACCCAATTTATAATGGGTCTTTTTGTTCCCATTTGTGATCCCAGATTAATGTAGATAGTGTTCTTTTGTTTTCTTTAAAAAGGTCACATGCTCAATATTTCCACTTAAAGGGGCAAGAGAGTCATACTAAAATATCTGCTGGTTACTTGAATAAAAAATACTTCAATAACCCGAAGGGAAACCATGGCCATCATTTCACTTAGTTCCATTGCCTTATAAGCCGTAGTCTGGAGACACCGTACCCCGACAAAGACCAAGGAGGTGTGAATGTGATTCCATGGTGTCCACCAGCTCTTTCATAGCACCAACGTGGAAAATTCTTACTTGGAATCTCTGAATACACAAAAAGTGTAGCTTCAATTCATTTTTGCCATGTGTGGTTATGTTATAAATTGACAACTAGGTCATGATGTCCAGTTGGTAACCTTGTGTCCTTCGAAAATATATTCATCTAGAGTACACAATTACTCAGGAGTTCTTGAATATTATTATATCAAGTTAATACTTGCCTAGTCCTTTCCTTTTTTACAATACAGAATAATTTAACTTAACAAATTTTAAAAATGTATTTTATTTTTGTGATCTGCTTTTCTCACTCCTCACCCCCACTGTGTCTCATTGAGAAAGCAGGAAAAACAAAACTCCTGTTATAAACATGTAGAGTCAAGCAAAATAAATTCCTATAATGGCCATATCCAAAATACATGCCTTAGTCTGCATTCTGAGACGATATTTGGAGGTGGCTAATATATTTTATCATGAGTGCTCTGGAATTGTGGCTGGTTGTTGTGTTGATCAGAGTTCCTAAGTCTTTCAAAGTTGTTCGTCTTTTCAATATTTTAACAACCATTTATTAAGTCCCTCCCAAGTGCAAAGCAGAGAGGCCAACTGGTGAAGTGATAAGAGTGTTGGACTTGGAATCAGGTAGCCCCCGGTTCAAATCTCACAACTGACACTTACTAGCCTTGTGACCATTTATCACAGCTAGATAAATCTCTAAGATTTATCTGATAAATAATAGATGGACTATACTCTGATTGGTGGAGGAAATCCCTACACCAAAGAAGTCACAGATTAGAACTGATATGCAAAGACCTATACCTTTAATAATTTTCCCATCTCTCAGGTGCCTAATTCTTGATCAATATGATACTCTACCTCTGTCTGAGCCTAAATTATTTCTTATAGCTTTGCGGCTGAATACACATTGAGCATAGATTTTCTGTACTCTGAACTCTTGTGAAATAATCACAGATGGGCTTTCAAATATTGATGATTAGCTCTCAGCATTGCAGAAAAGCCCAATCTTTCCGCTCCAGAATAATTTGTACCAGTGGTGCCCAGCAAAGATCAATGGTGGAGAAACAGTGGCTTGGAAATGAAATCTTTCAAGTTAGATGAATGTGAAAAGAAGCTGCTCAGGTCTATTTTTAGAGCCCTATTGTCCCCTTCCCCCACTTCCCCATCCTCCCCAGTCCTATGTCTATGGCGACCTTTCCCCTGGCTACAGAAAGCTGGATGCAGTTTTCTCTAGAGCCCACCAGCTCTCTTCCATGACTCAGCCGGAGAAGATGATTTGTCAATAACCTGAGAGTTCTCCCCCTCCCTCTCCCACTGTTACCACCTCCCCCCTCTCCTCCAGCATAGATCAAAATAACACTCTCCCGAGCAACTTAGCAAGGAAAAATCCAGTTTAGGTCTGAAAATCAGGCCCCTCTTGCTACCACTTTTTTAGGGAGGGTCAGGAGAATATGTCCAATTTTCCCCCCTATACTTTGAACTGTTGAAACGCATATATTGATTTATTTGCCTGGTCTAATTGCTATTCCAATTTAGGTTAGATTTTGTCCATTTCTGATTTCATTTCCCAGAAAACCTTTGTTAGAATGTAAGGGACTGGATCCATCTCGTGGCTTGTCTGGACATATCTCACCAGAATGAAACAATGCTGGGTGGTGATATACAAAGTGGCACAAGTTGCCTTCCGAGGCAACCCAATCTGGTAGAAAGAGCAGCAGACTTCAAGTCAGGGACCTGAGTGTCCTTCTCAAATTAATAGCTAACTGTATGACCTTGAATAAGCAGAGGCTGGATATTATCAAGGATGTTTCAGAGGAGATTTCTCATTCAGATGTGAGTTCCGATAGATGGTGGCTGAGGTCCTCATACCTCTGAGATTTCCTGAGGCTATGAAGTCACTTAATTTCTCTGATCCTCAGAGACTGTGGTTGTATAATGATGGGTTTGGACTAGAGGCTCTCAAAGTAGATCAGTAACTAGCAATTCTGACTCCTGGGGCAAACATGAAAGGTGTCCTCAAATCAATTTCAAAGTTGATTAAAAACTTAAAGTCTTTAAAAAGATAAATTTAGTTGGGATCTGGCCGTGTAACTTCCCTACTTAGTAAACTCCAATAGCTCCCTATTACCTCCAGGATCAAATATAAAATCTTCTATTTAACATTTAAAGCAGCTCCTTCCCATCCTTTCAGTATTTTTGCATCTTACTCCCCTCTACGAACTCTGCCACCCATCCCCCCAGTCTACTTGCTATGCTCACACATGACACTCCATAACACTACTTCTTGCACCATCTCCCAATTCCATGCCTCAAACACTCCCCTCGCCACTGCCTCCAAGTTTCCCTGGCTTCCTTTAAGACTCAACCCAAATCCTCCTTGCTGGGGTGGTCCCTTCCCTGTCCCCCTCCAAGTGCCTTCCATCTACATTGCATATATCTTGTATGCACATCCTTATCTGTATGTTGTCTCCTTCATTAAAATGTGGGTTCCTTAAGAGTAAGGACGGTGTTTTCTGTTTTTTACATTTCTTTGTATACCCAGGGCTTAATGCAGTTCTTAGCACAGAGTCAATGCTTAACAAATGTGTACAGACTGCTAACTGATACAAGGTGGAATGAAGACATACTGGGACATAACCCCATGATGGAGAGACAGAGACCCCAAGGGAAGCAGAGAGGGCTCTACTGGGGAAGAAAGAGACGGGGAAGGAGGTGGCCTTGGGTGGAAGCAGCCATTTAGCTGATTTCCCATTTCAACAGCTTTTTGTGACTAAGTAGTAAGCTCAATAGTTTCTCCTTTTTGAAGGAGTTTAAGTGCTCTTACAACCCTATACCTTTCAGCATCTTTGGCCAAAAATCCTTTGATCCCACCCTAGTGATGGCTTTGCATCTAAGGTCACTTC